CCATTTTCTAGCTGTCACCAAACGAAAATTTCACTTTCTGGATGTGACTGTCGCTGGAGCTGCAGTGTTTTGCCCCAGTTTCAAATCTTTGGTCACTCCTGGAAACCCTCAGCTGAACAGTCCCAGAGCAGTGAAGGCCTGAGCATGTTCTTGTTTAGTTTGGTGTAACCCGTGTCAGTTTGCATCCACCTGTGCTTGTTGCCTGCGTTATTTTTCTTTTAAGGGATGATCTTTGTGCAATTCTGCAGCACGGACCTCTTTCCTGCCGCCTGAGTTTAACGTCTGTTCTTAACCCTGGTGTCCCCTCAGAGCTTCAATCGGAACCTTCATCCACACGAGAGGTTTTCACCTCGTGATCTCCTTAAGAAAATCAAAGAGCAGAAGGAAGAGCTGGGCCTGATCATTGACCTGACGTACACAACGCGCTACTACAGGCCAGAGGTCAGTCCTGGGGAGGTGGAGCTCTGTGAACGCCCTGATATTGTTGATAAAGTGGAGGATATTTCTTGCAAGAAGTTAATTTTAAAGAGCGCGAGGCGCTTGAATCCTCTGGCAGGGGGCTGAAGTGTTGCAGGACGAGGTCTTCATCCTGGATCAAAACACAGACCTGGGGTCTTCTACCCCCATTGGGCTGATCCTCTTTGTACCAGCCAGCACCAGTTTTGGGGTGCCCTAAGGCTGGTTTCTGTAGGCTCTCCTGAGAGAAGAGCTGATCACACCCAGCTTTGGCTCGTGGTATCAAATGTGGAGGTACTGCCTTGGAGAGGTGTTCCATGCTCAGTCCAAGCCTCGTCTTCCCCAGGGAGGAAAGGACAAAGACACAAGAAATAAAAATGCAAACGGGATGTTGTGGAATATTAGTACTATATCAAGGGAGTGAAGAAAAAGTTTTCTTACCTAAAGCTGTGTTGCTGCTCTTTTGGGCTTAGTTAAAAAGCTCGGCTTCTTCCTGTTTATAGTCTACGGCTTCGTAATTGGTAAGAATCTGTAATTGTTAAGAATCCTTGTGCTTTCTCCTGGAAATGACTGACTGACTTTCTCTTAGGAGCTCCCAGACACACTCTGCTACTCAAAGATCTTGACAATGGGACGTGAAATACCAAACAAGGACACCATTTTTCAATTCAAGTGTGTCGTGAAGCAGTTTTTAAACGCGAACAAAGACAACGGTGAGCGTGGATTTCCCTTACGTCGCTGCTGTTGGGAAGGACTCTTGGAGCGATGTTTTAATTAACAGCATGAATCTCTTCTCCTTCCCTTGGCATGTGAATGTCAAGGCAATAAGCTGGGTTTGTTACGGGGAAGGAATTTATGCTGTCTCTCTGATAATTTGGCAGCAAATTAAGCTTTAATTGAGTTTGGGACTGTGTCTGTCAGTGAATACTGACCGCTTTTGGTAGCGGTGTGAGCAGCGACCTGTTAGTGCTTGGGAATGTGGGACAGCTTTTTGTGGAGCTTTTAAATGCATCCTCCCTGCAGTGAGCTTTGTGACCATGAAAATGAGCTCACAGAATTAACTGAGCTAATGAATTGAATCTGTGGTGCTAATTAGACATAAATATGGTGATGTGGTGTGGACAGTTCTCTTTGTTTACGCTGGGGGACGAATGCAGCCAGGCTTGTTCTGGTGAGGTTTAGGAGAAAGAGCATTTAAATACAACCTGATTATTGTGTGTTACAGACAAACTCATCGGAGTTCATTGCACGCACGGCTTGAACAGAACTGGCTACCTGGTTTGTAGGTGAGTTGTCCTGAGTTAAACTGAGTGAAGTGCCAGCTGCTTCTTGCTCCAGGAGGAAAAAGTGGGGGTCAAGTCCCCTGCATGATCCCAGACCTGCAAGGATTTAAAGCTTTTTCAGCTTTACAGAATCTTCATGGTTCGAAGGGACCTTTGAGATCATCAAGTCCAACCACACACACACACACACAAAAAAAAAACCCCAACAATCTCAGGCACTAGAGCATGCCCTGAAGTGCCACGTCTACACCTTTCTTAAATCCCTCCAGGGATGGTGACTCCACCACCTCCCTGGGCAGGCTGTTCCAGGGCCTGACCACCTTCTCAGTAAAGTAATTCTTCCCAATATCTAATCTAACCCTCCCCTGCCCCAACTTCAGACCATTTCCTCTGTTCAAGTCACAGGCGACAGGACAAGAGGAAATGGCCTCAAGTTGCGCCAGGGGAGGTTCAGGCTGGATATTAGGAAAAATTTTTTCACTGAAAGGGTTCTCAGCCATTGGAATGGGCTGCCCAGGGAGGTGGTTGAGGCCCCATCCCTGGAGGTGTTCAAAAGACGGGTTGATATGGTGCTGGGAGGTATGGTTTAGTGATGGTGTTGCTTTCTGTTTGTTGTGTGGGTGTCTATTTTTGTCAAAGTTAGGTTGATGGTTGGACAAGATGATCTTTAAGGTCCCTTCCAACCTAGAAGATTCTGTGATTCTGTGATTATTCCCTTGGGAGAAGAGGCCAACCCCCACCTCTCTACACCCTCCTTTCAGGTAGCTGTAGAGGGCAAGAAGGTTGTCATTTATGCCCAATTTCAGCAGACCAAATGCTGATATTCCATTCAGGCATGTAAATAGAAGCTCTGAAAACTTCCCAGTTATTCTTTTTTTTTTTCTGAATAATCACTAACCTGTCGATTTCTGGAGCTAATTGTGTAATTAGAGCTTTCTTGCTCACCTGTGCAGGTACCTGATTGATGTGGAAGGCATGGAGCCAAATACTGCCATAGAGCGTACGTACATCTGTGTTCTTCGTGTGCGGGTGCCAAATGGTTATTGTGGGATTGTGGCTTTAAGTGGGCACAAGGTTTGGGCTAGTTCCAGGGAGGTAACTCTATTTTAACTGTCTGTGTGTTTTCCTGACATAGAGGGGCACTGGGGATTGGTAGAATTAATTGGAAAGAAGGAATTAAGTTTATTGCCCGACTGTGGAGCTAATCAGGGCTGAGTGAACCTGGGGGGCACCGAGCACAGCTCTGCCTCTGTGTGCTTTGTCACACACAAAGGGTGTGGGATTACTCATTGAAGGGGTGAAAATGCTTTTAAAGGGGTGAAAATGCTTTTAAAGGGTCTCAGTGCTCAGCGGTGAAGATGACTTGGGTACAGTGTTGTTGTAACTCAGACCTGTCTCTCTCCAGTGTTCAACAGGGCTCGAGGGCATCCGATAGAGAGAACCAACTATATCCAAGATCTTCGGAAGAGATCTGGGAAGAAGTGAGTCTTTTTGTGTGCGTGAGCGAGGGCAGGTGTCCAGGGAGAGCTGCTGTCAAGCAACAGACCTTAAACAGGACTAGTTCTGAGGAAGGGAGGTGGAACGGGCCGGTGGGTAAGGAGGAAGGTGGGCAGTTGGGACACCTGGGATTAAAAATCTCCACAGACCTGCTGTCCTTCACTTTTTCGGGGAGCAGCGATGCAAAGGGGAGGGGTTTTTTAAGTGTAAAAGAGTCGTGCTGACTTGGTGAGTGGTTTGTGGACGCAGTCGATACACGTAGAATTCTTTTTAAGGAACTGTGGAGTAAGGAACTCGAGCTCGAGCCCCTTCAGAGAAAAAGCCAGCGCTGCACCAAGCGCCAAAAAGCAGGTGGTGAAACATCATCCACATCGCTCGGAGGAAGCCCCTTTAGCAGTGCCCAGGTAGGTTTTTGCTTCTTGCCTCTGTGCAGCTGAGCAATGGGACAAAAAGAGTTGCTTTCTCTCATTTGGAAGAAACTTAAACATAGATTTTTACAAGCCACAACCTGGGGAAGGGAGTGCCTGTTCCCTTGCCGGCTCTGCAGTGTTGGGGGGAAAAGCCTCCCTCAAACTTCTATATCAACGTTGAGGTGTTTCTGTGTCTGCAGCAGCAAAGCTCTTTGCCTCTGAAACCCAAACTTAGAATCATAGAATCATTTCAGTTGGAAAAGACCTTTTAAGGTCATCGAGTCCAACCATCAACCAAACTCTGATAAAAACCATCACTGACCCATGTCCCTCAGCACCACGTCTGCCCGGCTTTTAAATCCCCCCAGGGATGGTGACTCCACCACTGCCCTGGGCAGCCTCTTCCAGGGTTTTTCAACCCCTTCCATGAAGGAATTTTCCCCAATATCCATCCTAAACCTCCCCTGGGGCAACTCGAGGCCGTTTCCTCTTGTCCCATGGCCTGTTCCTTGGGAGAAGAGACCGACCCCCCCTGGCTACACCCTCCTTTCAGGGAGTTGGAGAGAGCCAGAAGGTCTCCCCTCAGCCTCCTTTTCTCCAGGCTGAACACCCCCAGCTCCCTCAGAAGTTCTCCAGACCCTTCTCCTTGTGCTCCAGACCCCTCACCAGCTCCATTGCCCTTCTCTGGACACACTCCAGCCCCTCAATGTCCTTCTTGGAGTGAGGGGCCCAAAACTGGACACAGCCCTCGAGGTGGGAACTCCCCAGTGCCCAGTCCAGGGGGACCATCACCTCCCCAGTCCTACTCATCACGCTGTTCCTGATCCAGGAATCTTGGCCACCTGGACACTCTGCTGCCTTGTGTTCAGCTGGTTCTTGACCAACACCCCCAGGTCCTTTTCCAGCCACTCTCCCCCAGCCTGGAGCATCCATGGTGTTGGTGTGACCCAAGTGCAGGACCCGGCACTTGACCTTGTTGAACCTCATCCCGTTGGCCTCGGCCCATCCATCTGACCTGTCCAGACTCCTCTGCTTTCCTCCCCTCCAGCAGATCCACACTTCCCACCTTGTTTGTAGAAGTACAGTGGGCTAATTGGAATTCGTAGGCATGTTGTAGAACTGGAATGATTTGATTTGTGATGGTTGGAAATGGGGATGATGAGAAATGTCAGATCTTGTAGTGATGACAAACGGTGAGGCTACTGGCTGCGACTGGGTGGACAGGACACCTTCATAAATCCCAGGAAAGGTGCATGCACTCCAGTGTGTGCTCAATTAATAGGATCCTTCCGTCTCAGCAGGGATGGGTGGGTGCAGTGAAGAGCATCTCTTGACCCAGGGCACACATCATCCGAGGTGGGCGATGACGTCCTGGTAGCTCCGAGCTCCAAAACCATCTCAGGAACGGATGCGTGGTGGCCGATGGCCGTTTCTGGTGGCTCGTTCAGCCCCTCTCTTCAGGGACATGCAGAACGTTTCCTGCTGAAAACTTCCCTTATTAGGAAAAAAAAATCAGCGTGTAGGAAATGAGCTGCTGGGTGGGCGTTTGTCCTGGGTGTTGGGATAAACCTGGGGGAGCCGAGGGGTTCACCACCAACCTTTCTGGGCTCCACAGACAGAGTCTGAACAGGGCAGTGAGTTTTCACTGAATTTTAGAGTTGGAAGGGACCATAGAGATCATCTAGTCCAACTCCCCTGCTGAAGCAGGACCACCCAGAGCTTGTCAGAGCATGTTACTCAGGAGCATCCAGGTGGGGCTTGAAGATCTCCAGAGAAGGGGACTCCACACCCTCCCTGGGCAGCCTGTTCCAGGGCTCTGCCACCCTCACCCCAAAGAAGTTCTTCCTCAGATTGGAGTGGAACTTCCCATGGTCCAGCTTGTGCCCGTTGCCCCTCGTCCTCTCACTGGGAACCACTGAAAAGAGTCCAGCTCCCTCCTCTTTCAACCCACCCTTGTAGGCATTGATAAGGTCTCCTCTCAGCCTTCTCCAGCCTAAAGAGTCCCAGCTCTCTCAGTCTCTCCTCATCAGGGAGATGCTCCAATCCTTGAATCATCTTTGTTTCCCTTCGCTGGACTCTCTCCAGCAGTTCCCTGTCCCTCTTGGACTGGGAGCCCAGAACTGGACGCAGTACTCTAGTTGTGGCCTCACCAGTGCAGAGTAGGTTTCCTTCTACTGACTCTGGAATTTTCTTCCAGAAGCTCCAGCAAATCCAAGAAGAGCCGCCGGCGAGGCTCGGCCAAGGCTGAGGAGCAGCACCCGGAGGTGGCCGAGGAGCCCGCGGCGCCAGAGCCGAGACGACCCTGCAAGTCTGCAGCCAGGAACTGTCGGGTTTCCGCGCCGGCTGAGGAGTGGCACGACGGACTCTGCTTTTCCCCCCTCAACCCCCACCTCTGCCCGGCCCAGGAAACGCAACCGGCCACCAAGAAACGCCGGCGGCGGCGCAAGAAACCGGCCCCCACGGAGTAGGGAACGGAGCCGGGAGCCTCTGAGACGGGTCCGTGGCTTGGCTTGTAAACACCAGCAGTCAGGAAGGGCAAAACCAGCTCTATTTTTTTTTAAAAAAAAAAAAAGAAAAAAAAAAAGAAAAAAAAGAATTATTCTCTCTTTTTTCCATCCTCTCTGGGTCCTTTTATGAACCTCACAGAAACGCCCCGGCCTCATGTCGCACCGCTCCTCGAGGGACGTGGGGAATCCACGTGGGCCCCAAAAGGAGCTGGAATTACCCCAAAAAAACATCTTTGGAAGCGTCCCCTTAACCTGCAGCAAAAAAAAAAAGGGGGCTTTTCCTTGATTTCCTTAATACATAACCAGAAATGGGATTCGGCCTGAAACAGATTTTTTTCCCCTCCTTTTCACACACTTTTGCTCCAGTAATTGCTCTGGAGCCGTTATTTCCCCCGGGATGGTCACTTCCGACCCCGTTTTGGGGTGAAAAAGGCTGTTTCCGGGGTGGGCTGTGCCCTGCAGCCGGAAGAGAGCTGTTCCTTTAAGGCTGAAGGCTGGTCTCTGACGTCATGACGTCGGGCTTTCCGCTACAGGGAAAGGAAGCGGCCGCTGGGCCGGGCGGAAGTGGGAGGTGGTTGCAGCGTGCCCGGATGTTGCGGCGGCTCCTGATTGGCTGCTGGAAGCGGTAGGGGGAGGTGCCGTCGGCTTTTCGGCGACAACCCGGAAGCGCTGAGGGGAGGCGGCGGGAGGCGACAGGTCAGAGCTGGGCCCGGGCCCTGGGGCTGTGGAGGGGGGGGCTTCCTCGCTTGGGGTCCGGGACGTGGCGGGGGGAGGCGTTTGGGGGACCGGGGGTGACGGTTGGGAGGGTCTCTTCCTCTCCCGGGGGCCCCGGCCAGGCGGGCTCCGGTTGGGGGGATCCTTTCCTTTGGAAGGGGGGGGGGTGTCCGGTTGAGGTTCCCCCAACAGAGGTTGAGGGCGGGTCGGGGAGGCCGTGAGGGCTTTGGTTGTTCAGCCTGGAGAAGAGAAGGCTCCGGGGAGACCTTATAGTGGCCTTTCAATACCTGAAGGGTGCCTACAGAAGAGCTGGGGAGGGACTCTGCCAGGAGGTGTAATGATAGGACAAGGGGAAACGGTTTTAAATTGGAAGAAAAAAGATTCAGATTAGATCTCAGGAAGAAATTTTTTACTGTGAGGGTGGTGAGACACTGGAACAGGTTGCCCAGGGAAGTTGTGGCTGCCCCATCCCTGGAGGGGTTCAAGGCCAGGCTGGATGGGGCCTTGAGCAAC